GCATCTTAAGCTTAAGATGCAGATTTTTCTGTGATCATATATTTATACTTTATAAATTCATAACTTTCACACATAATAATGTTTGATTAACTTACCAGGTCACAGCTGGCCTTCGCTCAGAGCCTAGTTGCTGAACCAGTCACTGTGGAGCATTCTATTCAGCATCTGGTGTAGATCTCAGCTTTCAAACATTCGCACGTATGCCGCTTTGCTGCGATAACACGCTGTTACTCGTCCGGTGTATTTACTGCTGTAGTCCGATGACCACAGCCTGCTGACCCTAAGTAATTTATTCTGTTCCCCTTCAAGTTGTAGGGTCGTATCTGATGGGCTCCACGTGTTTTAGACACAAAGGCTCTGTTTACACGGCAGGCCTTGATGCTCAAGTCACATTTTTGTTGTGAAATCTGTTTTTTTTTTGCATTTTCGTTCACATTTATATATATGCAACTTGTATTGTAACTTACTTACAATAATGGAAAGTAGTCAGAGTCAAAACAAATTACAGACACAATAACGTTATGAATAAACCTGAGAAAGAATCTGTTTTGTTTTACTTTTTGCAAATTTTGGGCCCTTGTAGGGGAAACGGACTGAGTTAAAACTTTTATATTGAGTAAATAGGATAAATTAATATATGAATTAAGAGAAATCAAAATTTTCCAACCACACCATGTGGCTGCATGTTTTGGGTTTGGGTTCAAACTAGGGCTGCAACTAACGATTATTTTAAAACTCGATGAATCGGCCGTTTATTTTTTCGATTAATCGATGAATCGGACAAAAATTTTTTTTTTTTTATATTAACCTCTTACGGATGACGCGTTAATCGCGCGACACAACTAATCCATGATAAAATTCGTTGCCAACGCTTTTAAAAGTCGATTTTTATCGATTTTATCGATTCGTTGTTGCAGCCCTAGTTCAAACCAACAGAGCGTTGTACAGAGCTACAAACTAGCGTCCTGCACGGTGTCTGGGATAGAGTCCGAGGTGTTCCAGGCGTTGTGCACGGCACTACAGCCAGAGTTTCTACCATTAGGTACCAAACAGGAAATACGCATAGTGTAGAGCTGATGTAGATTTGACCAATCAGAGGCCTCCTGTCTGCGGTCAC